CAAATGTCTCAGCTGTGTAATGCAGAGGAGGGGAAGAAAGTTTGGTAAGCAAGGTTAATTTGATATGGAGGAAAATCAGACAGAGAGAGAACATACACAATGAAGTACTCAAGGGTGGGGAGTGTGATACGAGAAATATGTTTGTAAATCACAGTTGGCCTTGATACCTTTGAGTAATGGAATGAAACAAAGGCACAAATGAGTTATGAAGTATCACCCCCAATGAGTGACTATATCCCCATCCCCTGTGTTTTGTCTATACAAGATGCTTGTTAATAACAACAATGCTTAGCACTTCTCTTCTAAGAGCTTTACAAAGACTGACTGAACAATGTAATTGCATAATTATGTCAGTACTATCCACAACTGAAAAACAGACATGAAAGGTGAGGCACAGAAGAGTTAAGTGATTTGACCAAATCCAGTACCTGAGCCAGATTCAGAATGCAGGATTTCTGGGCTTCTCAACAAACACACTAAGTCACATTTGAGATTCAATGCGTCAAGACATTAACACATGTACTTACTATGTAGGATTCTTACCAGCCTTGGAGAGAAGAAACCTGGTTTCATTTCTAAATGCTGCTCTGACTATTTATCCCAAAGCACTATATGCACTGGACAATTTTTAGCTTGTATGTACTGTATTTTACCTTGGTGCACATATCTTATTCTTATTGCTGTTCTCACACATATGGAAAGTAAATACTCACACCAAGTGAAGTGTACCCCTTGTACAGGTGTTGAGACTGCTAGGTGTTGGTCCTGGTGCATCAAAGCATGTAAGCATATGCTTAAAGTATATAAGTAGTTGTATTAGCTTCAATGCAACTATTCAGTGTAATGAATATGTTTCTGTATCATTGGGCTGGGACCAGAATGTTCATCACATTGAAGTATCAAGCTCACTATCCCTTCCTGTTAAGATCATGTCTGCATTTAAAAAGCCCCAATGTGGTGGGACTATCAGGAAGCTCTTTCTTTGGTATAAAATGACATAAAATTCATGGATGTTGACTGAGTAAAGCACATTTTTCTTGCAACAGGTGAAGACCTGTCCAATACTTGTCATAATCAGCTAATGTAAAAACATCTCTCCCCCTCCCCCTACGTTTCTCCCCCCATTCTTCAGGTGAAAAAAAAGTCTCTGCTGGGGTAGTTCTCTCTTACAGGAAAGCCAGTTACTGGAACTTATCTCACTCTACAACTCAGAAATTAGCAGAATGAATTGATAGTGAACCATGAAGGAAATTCTCAGGACACATTTCTTCTGTGGCTAAGGATTATGCAGTATTATTTTTCTGGATTGCTGGCTATTGGAACACTGAAAAGTAACAGTAATATCCTGAGGTGGAGTTACAGGCTAAGACTTTTAAACCTAAGAAAATTTGGGAATGTAGAGATGGGATTCTTCCATAAATTGAACGTGGGCAATAGCTGGAGACAAAATACTGCATGCCCACCAACAGTGGCCCAGCTAAGAGCATTCTAAAGCAAAAGAAAGGATGCAGTTGTGCTGCACTGAGGTGCCAGAACCCTGTATTTTACTTCTAGTTCTACCACTGATTCACTGAGCAAGTCATTTAACCATTATGCCTCAGTTTCCCATCCTCTATAAAAGAGCAACAATATTTCATAGATTTCATAGACATTAGGGCTGGAAGGGACCTCGGAAGATCATCGAGTCCAGCCCCCTGCCCAAAGGGCAGGAAGTCAGCTGGGGTCATAGGATCCCAGCAAGATAAGCATCCAGTTTGCTCTTGAAGGTGTTCAATGTAGGCGCTTGAACCACCTCCGGTGGCAGGCTGTTCCAGACCTTGGGGGCTCAGACAGTAAAGAAATT